TACAACTGTACAACAACTCACCCTTATGTAACAGATAATACTCCCTACAACTGTACAACAACTCACCCTTATGTAACAGATAATACTCCCTACAACTGTAACAACAACTCACCCTTATGTAACAGATAATACTCCCTACAACTGTACAACAACTCACCCTTATGTAACAGATAATACTCCCTACAACTGTACAACAACTCACCCTTATGTAACAGATAATACTCCCTACAACTGTACAACTCACCCTTATGTAACAGATAATACTCCCTACAACTGTACAACAACTCACTCTTATGTAACAGATAATACTCCCTACAACTGTACAACTCACCCTTATGTAACAGATAATACTCCCTACAACTGTACAACAACTCACCTTATGTAACAGATAATACTCCCTACAACTGTACAACAACTCACTTATGTAACAGATAATACTCCCTACAACTGTACAACAACTCACCCTTATGTAACAGATAATACTCCCTACAACTGTACAACAACTCACCCTTATGTAACAGATAATACTCCCTACAACTGTACAACAACTCACCCTTATGTAACAGATAATACTCCCTACAACTGTACAACAACTCACCCTTATGAACAGATAATACTCCTACAACTGTACACCTCACAGTATCATTGTTGTGCCTGTCAATCATCAGATCATTGTTGCACCTTCTTCTTATGACCTCTTGTTTAAAGCTAAGATTTTTTATTTTATTTTATTGCTTATCTTTCTGTTTTATTTTGACTTGTACATTTATGTAATTATGTTTTATTTGACATGTGTCTCTTGCTCTTTTTTGCTACTTATTTAGAATGTATTATTATCATTTATATATTTTTTACTCTTTGTTATTATATTATATTGTGATGTGTGAGTTACTGTGTCCAAATGATTTCCCTTGTGGGTCAATAATTTTGTCTAAATTGAACTTCTTGTCAGAAGAGATTAGACCGAAACATAATTAGGCTTATCCATAGTAATCTACATTATAAAAAATCCAACATGGTCCTGCTATTTCAAATAGGCTACATTGATTGTTAAAATGGGACATTTCAGACATGATCATGTTTGTATAAACCAGTGTGTTAAAAAGTAAAAAGAAACATTTGACATTTGAATTTACTGAGGTTCTTCAACAGTTGGCAAAGAAACTGATGATAAACTCATAGGCATTTGTGTCATTATATTTTACAGCCTATTCAATAAATAACAGAAAGAAACACAAACACAAAATAATGACATTCAAAAGAAGTGTGTTTATAAAGGGGCGAGTCATTAAAATCAACTTTAGTGAGTGTGTAAAAATGAGCCTGCAGCCTATTTGTCCATAAACAAAGGTCAGCCTCGTGTCTGCTGTCACTGCCTTTTACCATCACAGCCGCTCAGCACTTGGTCGCTGGTTCGATCCCCGTCCCACAAAAGGAGGCACCTGCCAGAGTTCGGACCTAATCCTCAGACCCGGGACTTTAGGGGCCCAGGACTTAATCCACAGCGAGGGCACGGGGCCAAATCAGGTCCCGAGTCCAAACCAGAGGCCCCCGTAGCTGTTGCCTCAGAACTGGCCCCTAATCCCTCCAAACGTAATCTCGACCACTCTCCGTCCCCTCCCCGAAAACCTGTCCCACCAAAGAGCATTGATTTGTTGGTTTCTCCGCTTTTGTCCACAGCTGCCCGAGTGTGAACGGGACATCCAGCGAGCACAGGCCGGGCCCGGACTTTTAGCATGGGAGATTAGGCTCTCAATCTGAGGCATCTGCCACAGGACACCTCCCCGGGTCTGGATGGAAGGACAAAAATCAATTTGGTGACTTTTGAAAATTGTGTCTAATGTCTGAAAAAACACGTGTTTATCATGTAGAAAACAGAATTATAAAATCATGAAAGTTTAAAAACTGCAGCATTATTAACCTTGTATGACTCCATAATTGCACCAGACCTGATGGACTGTGTGCAAATTTGAGACTCAACATGTAAAAGTCACCTGCAGACTTGATTTATTTGACAGAAAAGGGCCTTGAGAATTATCACCCACAGTTATTATACTTAAAGTGTTGAAAATGCAGAATATTGTTGACTTAAGTTTCCTCAAAGTCATGAGAAAGCAAAATGTAGAGTCGTATGTTTGACACCCCTTTCATCTGGCCCTCGGCTGATTTTCTCCTAAAATATTATAATTATATTTTCTATTAAAATATTGATCATTTTGTGTGGTGTTTATCACAGCAGTGTCTCCAGCGTCTCTGTACGTGGCCCCTCCCACCAGAGCAGCACAAATGAAGACTTGTCTCTTTCCAAACGCTCTTAAAGGACGATCGTTTTGACTGTTGACCGTGACACCCTCATCAGAAAAATGTCACAAATGAGAAAAGTGGAGCCGAGTGCAGGATTTTACAAGAAAAATGGACTTATTCCTGTTTACATACAAACTCATGTTCAAACATTGTGTTGAAATTGAATTTTTCTTAAAGTTTCAGGTTGTTCATAATATTATAATATTTTGTAAAAGAAAGAGTTCATCAATTAAAAAAGATTTCTGTAATAGATTTGTGTTTCTCTGCACAAATATTTGACTTTATTGCTATTTTTGGGGTTTATATGCCTTTTTTTTTTTTTTTTAGGCCCCTTTGGGATCAAAGTGGGTTGGATACGGCCCCCAGACCAAAATGAGTTTGACACCCCTGGTGTAGAGTGTCAATTGTAAATATTCAAAGAGTGTTTGAGACGAAAACAAACCACTACAATTTAAATGAAACCTACATGTTTAAAAAAAAACAGATCCAGAGTCAAGTTTATGGAACAAAGCGTCACTGTGAAAGGAGTTCAGTTATGGAAGAGTCTTGACAAAGATTTTAAAGGGATCAAGTACAATGATCATGAAGATGTTGTGCATAGTAATGAAGATTTCTGTTTGCAATTGATGTGACTGATGTGCCTGAACTGAAATGTATTGATGTGAACTGTTTTAAAGTAACTCTCATTGTTGATGTTCTGTCTGGAAAAGGGAAAGGGGGCGGAGAACATAAGACGACACTTCTTCTTTCTGCTCCTTTTCATTCATTTCTTGTATGTTTAATGTTGTGGCACAGTTAATATCTTTTTATACTTAATGAATGAAATAAATAAACAAATAATAATAATAATAATAATAATAATAATAATAATAATAATAATAATAATAATAATAATAATAATAATAATAATAATAATAATAATAATAATAATAATAATAATAATAATAATAATAATAATAATAATAATAATAATAATAATAATAAAAGAATAATAACCTAAATGCTGTGTTCAGGGTTCTGTCTATTACATATACATACATAATAGGTTATATAGGTTTATGTTTGGTCTACTGAAGGCCCAACTAACTTAATTAGCAAATTTATCAGACCAGAATGTTTATCTAATGTACAGCCTTAAATGTATAGTTAATTAGTCAAGCCATTTCAAATCATTTCCCTTGTGGAGCAGCAGTTTGTCCGATTCTAAACCTGAAGCTACATATGACGTGCTCTGTCGCCCTCTAGTGGTGTTGACCTTAAATTCCACCCAGTAGTTACAGTTTTTCTCCGTTGTTTTGGCTCATTTCTTGAAACAGAAATGACATTCTTAAAACTATAAGATCATTTGACCAAACAGTCTGATAGTTCTGCACAACATTACAGCTCACCTGCAAAAGCTCAGATCTCTCCCAAAACCTTCCTTTCCCATATAAAGAGTCAGGAGCATCAAAATTGTAAAGATTCTTCTCAGTTGTTTTGGCTCTTTTGCATTCACTTTGTGCTTTTGTCAAAAATAACCTGGATGGTTCCGCACAACACCATGGATCACCTGCAGAAGCTCAGATCTGTCCCAAAACACTTTACCCATGTGTCAAAACTGAACTCCTTTCTCATAGAAATAGTCATTGTCCCCAAAATACATTGTCCCCTTGGTCTTGTGTCACTGCAGCTCAAAATGACTCGATGTTTTGTCACTATGGTAGAGGAATAGCCAACGCAATACAATTATGAATAAAACTGAAAAAAAGGATTTCACAGTTTGACATCACACACACACACTGCTCTCTCTCTCACACACACACACACTGCTCTCTCTCTCACACACACACACTGCTCTCTCTCTCTCTCTCACACACACACACTGCTCTCTCTCTCTCTCTCACACACACACACACTGCTCTCTCTCTCTCTCTCTCACACACACACACACACACACACACACACACACACACACACACACACACACACACACACACACACACACACACACTGCTCTCACACTGCCAACAAAACTCTAACCATTTTATTCACACACATAAAGTCACTTCCACACATCAGAGTACAAAAAATGTAGACAGTATTCTGCACACGTACCAAATATAAACACACACAAAAAAAGACAAATTATATCTAGTCTACAGTGCTGTAAATAAAGCAAATAAAGTTTCTACAGTAACACTTTGACTGCTCATGGCTGTCGTTGTTTCCCTTCCTCTGATGACTGTGAAGACGTTGCAAATGTCTCAACCGTCCCCTCCCCTGTGATGTCCTCACACGCAGCATCCAATCCACAGAGCAGGTCTGGAGACCAGTGTTCATACACTCTCAACCTCCAAGTGGAAAAAAACTCAATTGAACTGAAGAAAAGAGAGTCTTTAGATTGAAGTGAACCAGGCCTGGTGAGTCACAGTGTAAATTCACACTGTCCCACATGATCACATAGTGTGACAGGAAGTTCTAATTTCACCTGACTGACAATTATTGTCATGAATTTATCAAATGTTCCAAACAAAATCATATATAATGTTATATGGTGTCATGTTCTTGACTAATTTTGACACTTGAACATCTTGTGCAGATGATGACTCAGACAGTGAAATGATGCTGACATGTTTTTGGAGAGAAAAACCATCAGACTGAGAATCAACTCATCAATTTAAATCAGCAAGATCGATTTATTTGGGAAATGTGCTAAACGTGGATCATTGTGCAAACTGTAGGCGACTTGTACAGAACCATGTGCATAGATCTACTGAGACACTTCACATGTGCACTAAGACATTTACAATTTGATGAAATCAATGAGAAATGTGATTCTGATGTGAAGGACTGCAAGATAGTTTAGAGATTTGTCCATGTTGTTTGAGAGTGTCATTTCTGTTTCAAGAAATGAGCCAAACCAACAAGAGAAAAACTGTAAAAGCGTCCAGTTTGAGCCGTTTCTGAAGCTAGATATCTGATGTTTTTCCTTGGATCTGCTGTAACTAACTAACTCCTCCAGGTTGGTAGGATTTCTTCATTTCTTCATGTTTCCTCCTGGACAGTGGCTCTCCTCGGATAATGCCTAATCATTTGCCTGAAATTTCAAATGTTTTTGTTTAAAAGCATTTAATGCGTCTATCGTTGCCCATTTTATCTAAATGAGAGAGACAACATGAACCAGAACTAAACCAGGTCTCACCCAGGCCAAGACAATCTGAACCTAAAGCACCACATAGTTTTCCAACACCACTCAGACAATAACAAATATAAAGAAATCATTTATAGTCATGTTTACTCACATATCCTCAGTAACATCTGGTTTTATTGAATAAGGCACTTAGGAATGATAATAGTGTGTACAGTACTTGCAGCTCAGGCTGAGATGTAAACTACAAAATACAAACATGAAAAATAGAAATACACTAGTAAAACTGTCAAATAATAAACGTAGCTTTTCTTTGGCTCCCGCTACTTAGTTCATAAAATCATTGTTTACTTTGGTTTTAGTTAAATGTTTTTTAAATGGTTGAAGTTAATGTGAAGAAATTGCTTTGGGGTTTTATTTTAGTTTGCAATGATTCTGTCCACCGGTAACAGCTGGGTCACTCCGATCCTCTTGGCGCACGCGTTCTGGAAAAAAAATGACACATATTATTACACTAATTCAGTCTTAAAAAGGTTTAATACAGCTATTTCATGTTGATTTCAAGCTATTGTTTTAAATGGGTAAATTCTAGAATATTAAGATAATCATGTGGTGTGGTAGAGGGTTAGAATCTCCTTCCTGACAGTGTACTTGGGCAAGACACTTCACCCCTCTAGTCTCCAGTGTTTGTGCATAAATGTGGAAGATATGGTAAATGCAAAGGGATCAATGGCTCCTTAATGTGAAGAGCTTAGTGGTTTAAAGTATAAATTGGTTCATTTATTGCTCAAAAAATGATACATCATATTGTGTGTAAGAAGCTACTGCAGGGCACGCGGGATATGACCACCCCTTTTCGATTGTTTAAGTCTATTTAAGTCTTGTGTAGTTCAAAGTATTCCTTTGTATGGCTGCAAACAGTTGTCAGGTTGTCAGATTAGGCAGGTGTCCGCCCAGTTGGGCTTCTTTTGACTACGTCAGGCGGGAGGGGAAGCCTTAGACGGGCACATCATATTTGGGCGACTTTCAACAAGTTTGGGCGTTTTTTGTTTTCACACCAATCAACACGATACGCAATAACGCAATAACACGATAACGCAATAATGCAGAACTGTGTGGGTGCCCCCGGTGTTCAGCTGTTGCACAGATTCAATTCTTCGATGTGTGAGTCGGCTCTGTGTTTGTCTGCTGGTCTTGCAGTAGTCGAGGCTGTATTTGACCACTGATGAAATTCATTTTGATGTGTGATGAAAACGCTGTTCTACGTTTCACCAAAGGTTATACATAAAAATGTTTTCTCAATCTTAGCAATGTTTTTAAAAAGCCAATAGATTACGTTAAAACATGTTTATTCTAGTATTAGGCTAAATTAAATTTTTTTTCTCTGTGATAAATGAAAATAGTGTTTTAGATTTAACGTGTTTTCTCAATACTGGCAATGTTTTTCAGAAGCCCAACAATGGATTACATTTATTCAAAGATGAATGACAAAATAGTGTTGAGTGTTTTTTCCTGAAGAGAGCGGGCTTTCAAACATGACTGGGTGGAACTCACTAAAACCAATCTGGCAACACTGGCTGCAAATTAAAATGAAATCATTCTGAGTCCTTTACAAACTGCACAGAGCCAGGGTTGTGTGTGAGTTGAGTTCCCTCGAGTCGCCCTGAAACCTCACCATGTGGTTGACCACGTTGAGGTGATAAGGGATGCCACCCATCTCCTCACACTTCTTGATGTTGGCCCTCTCTGGGTCTCCTGCAGTCAGCACTGGGGTCTCGGGGTCAGCCTGGAGCACACACGCCAACGGGTTAATATGAAATAAAAACAATGTGCAAACTTGTATACACTTGTACACATTATTTGTTCCAATTGATAAGAGTGTTTCCTTTTAACTGAGGAGACTATTATGGCCCCTCAGTCTAATTTTTGCCCTTTAAAAAGTGGAGAAGAAATTGGTTAAATATTGTTTAATGCTTGTGGTACTGACATTAAACACATAAAAGTAACTATATTAAATCATAATTTGTGCTTTTGTTCAGTACAAAGCAGGTGACGTTTATACTAGGGGTATGCAAAAATATTGGAATATCGATATATCGTATCGTTTAATGTGATGATACAGTATCAATATCATGGGCTACTGTATCGATATATCACCAAGAGTATTTTTACGTGTGTTTTACTAAATTATTTTGTTACAGTGCCACAGTTTTGTTGCTTGTGGAGTGAAAGAAAACTCATTTATGTGACACATTTGACATTTTGACACTGTTTTGAGGATTAAAATGTTTCATGTGCCTTCCACAAGCAATGACGGTCCAGGAAAAATTTTATATAAAGCTGCATGCACCATTTTCACACGTCTGGTCCTCGTATGATCCCAGTCAGTCCTGAAGCAGTCTCCTGTTCTAGTTCCACTTTATGTTCTGGTCTACAGTCCCTGACAAGTCTCGCTTATCCATTTTGTAGAAACAAAAGCTTATAACCTGACTTTAAATTAATCGACTGGTTTTAGAAATGTCTCATATGAAGCTAAAACCCTCCCAAATGATGCTCAATAAACTAAAATAAATTTGCTTCACTGAAGAAATATCGATCATTTAATGAACACAGAAAGGTCAGATTTTGGCAAGACAAAAGTTTTGTCGCCTACAGAAAATTGAACAAATAATTTTCTTCAAATACAAAAATATGTTGCATAACGTCAGTGAATGAAGTAGTGGTGCTGTGAGATCCATATTTAATATCTTGTATGACTTCCATGAGCTTGAAGGACGCATCCATGCAGTTCAACAATGATTCATACAATTTGTTGATGAAGTCATCAGGAATAGTAAAGAAAGCGTCTTACATGCCTCCCAGAGTTCATCAAGATTCTTTGGTTTTGTCTTCATGTTTCCTCTTTCATTCTACCCCAGACATGCTCAATGATGTTCATGTCTGGTGACTGGGCTGGTCAGTCCTGGACCACCTGGATCTTCTTCACCTTGAGAAACTTTGATGTAGAGATAGAAGTATGTGATGGAGCACCATCGTGATGGAGCACCATCCTGCTGCAAAATTTGACCCCTTTTATGGTTGGGAATGTAAGAGGAGCTAAAACTTCTTGATATTTTAGGTTATTGATATTTGCCTTCCACCCTGCAAATGTCTCACACACCCCCAGACTGGATGGAACCACAGACCAGGATTTTTCCTCCCTAACCAAACTTAACTGTTTTCTGGGTGAATCTTGGATCCATGTGGCTCCAGTAGGTCTCCTGCAATATTTGCGGCGGCTGTGATGTAATTCAACCGAGGATTCATCTGAGAAATCCACCTTCTGCCACTTTTCCAGTGTCCATCCTTTTAGCAGGCTGTGGGCCTTGGCAAATGCCACACAGTTTTTTAATTGCCTTTTGTTTAGTGCTGGTTTCTGTGCACTGATTCGACCATGGAGGCCATTTCCAGACAGAATTCTACAAACTGTTGTGGTTGACACAGGGACTTGAGGTGACCAGGCCTGGTGGAGTCTGCTGCAGTGGAAAAGGGGCCTTGGATTTTTGAATCAACAAACGGTCCTCCCGAGCAGTTGTCTTGCAGTTTCTGCCAGACCTGGGCTTGTCAAAAACATCTCCAGTCATTTCAGATCTTTTTCTTATTCTTTGTACTTGAAGACACATTGAAGGTGTCACCACCTCAGCAGTGGATCTGGTCTTCAGTCTCTTGATAATTAATGCTTTGGTCTCAGGGTGGATCTTAGGCATGTTGTCAGAGGTCAAGTTGCAGTTGATGTGAAGGTCTGGTGTGCTGGGGTTCTTTTTATACTCACCCACTAATTGATGTCTTCAATCTTTCTTCAGTGAAGGAAATTTATTTTAGTATATTATATATACCCTCCCATAATTTGGGAGGGTTTTGACTTTCATATGAGACATTTCTAAAACCAATCGATTAATTTAAAGTCAGGTTATAAGCTTTTGTTTCTACAAAATGGATAAGAGACAAGACTTTTGTCAGGGACTGTAGTCAAGGTTTAGTTCTGGGTTTAGTCCAAACTCTGGCATCACCTGCTTGTGCTCATGGCAATAGATTAGTTGAACACCACAGTATGGAACATTACAGGCAGTGTTGGGGAGTAACAGATTACATGTACCGGAGTAATCAGAGTACAAATGATGAGTAACTGTATTCAGTTACAGTTACTGTTTCAGTGAGTGGTAATTGGATTACAGTTACTTGGTTGAAATAAATGGATTACTGGGCGGTATTTTCCTGTTTTCACATTTTGGGCTAAACCAGGACTAAAACCAGAACTAAAACCAGGTCTAAACCAGGACAAAACCAGGACTAAAGCAGGACTAAAACCAGGACTAAAACCAGGACAAAACCAGGACTAAAACCAGGTCTAAACCAGGACTAAAATCAGGACTAAACCAGGACTAAACCAGAACTAAAACCAGGTCTAAACCAGGACTAAACCAGGTCTAAACCAGGACTAAACCAGGTCTAAACCAGAACTAAACTAATACAATATGACACTTAACAGTAGGTGAACATAATTTAAAGCAGCAGTGATCTCATATAAAAATAATTTCTCTATCAATAATATTTTTTATATGGTCAAATAAAAACTGAACAAATATGAATTTTCAGGATGTGGTTGTTACATTCATGTAGTTTTAAAAAACATGACAATAGCAAGTAATCCAAAGTATTCAGATTACGTTACTCACTTTAAGTAATTTTATGGATTATGTTACAAACTACATTCTGGTGTGTTTAATCTGTAATCTGTAGGGGAATACATTTTAAAAGTCACCTTCCCAACACTGATTACAGGCAAAGCAACAGCATCTCCATGGAGACTAAGATTAAAACAACTTTATGTGATTGATTGTGATCGATTGTGAAAATGTGTCTTGTTATACATGCTATACAGAATACATCTTCTTAAATAATAGACAAATATTATAAGCAACTCTTGTGCTCAAATTAAGTCTGCTGCATTCTGTCTGTATCTTATTATAAAGCTTTTGACTGTCTGAGATTTAGGTGCCACTTTAATCAAGATGTAGCTCGGAATGCAAACGCACACATTTCTGAGACATTCACAATCAAATAGAGCACCTTCAAGTACTACAGTGGTGCTCAATACGTCAATCCTGATCTACCAGTCGATCGCCAAGGTCGTGTGGGTAGATCTCCGTGTCTCGTCTCGGACTCGCGTTTGGACTCGGTCTTGTCTCTCACTCGAGGTCTGACACTCAACAAGTGTGATCATATTTCATTCCGGCCGCTGCTGTTGGTAATAAACTTGTAGCGGGTGCAGGAGCGTGTGGGGCGTCTCAGTGCAGCCTGTGTGCTCATTTGAAACCCGCGGAGACTCTACGGCGCATCACAAACACACACGCTCCCTATGCACGGCTCGTCTGCGACAGCGTGTGCCCTCGTGTACCAGCGTGCATCACAGGGCAGGTTCAACTTCCTAAACATCCTACCTGTCCATCTGCCTCACGTCAGCACGCCGCCCCTCGCCTTTTCACGCTCTCGCTCCTTCCTGCGTACAGGGAACACAAGCCCCTCCCACAGTGCGCTGATTAGAAGAGCAAGACCAAACGTGAAGCAAAAACCAGTCTAAATCTGTGTTCCAGTGTTGGCACAAAGCAGGTCTACAGCATAGAGCGGATCTACAGAACAGACCTACTGCCACATTTGGCTGAAGTTTGTCTAACAAAAGTGCACAGATGCATCTGTGTTTGTCACGATGTGCGTTTGGTTTGGTAAATGTGCAGAGGCTGGTAAATATCACTGCAAAACCAGAAAAGAATGAAACTCCAGTTTGGAACTTTATAAAACAGGTTTAAAAATCTTCCTTCACTTTTTCCACAGTTTTGTGTAAAGTGCCAGAGGAAGTTCTCTTAAAGAAGAGGTTCTCAAACTGTGGGGGAGGGTCCAAAAAAGGGGCACAGAGTGTTTCAGTGCAGTTTGTTTGGCTTTGTATTAGGTAGATCATTCTGACTTGGTCATATTGTAAGTAGCTCACATGCTGAAAAAATGTGAGCACCTCTGAAGTACTGCTATCAGCTACAGTACCTTTAACTATAGTTCTGACTGTGACTGAATAGTTTGTTTGTTTTTTTAGCCCAGTGCTACTCACCGGGTCCATGCCTCTCTGGATGGACAGCAGGTCGGACATCCTGTCAGTGAATCCTGGAGCAAAGTTCTCCGGGTTTATCGCCACAAAACACTGACCCTGAAAAACAAATGGCGACAGAGAGATGAGGTACTTCAAACAGCATCAGAGGCTGGTTATCCATCAACCTCACCTCTGATAAACAACTCTTATCAATGAACCAACAAGATAAAGTGTGTCTAGGTTTGTACACTGTAGGGCTGCTATAAATGAACTGAAGAATCACTTTAAACAATCTCATTTCATTACTGACAAATATAAACAATATGTATGTGTGTAAATATTTAAACTGAGGAACAAGTATGAAACAAAATTATTAGTTTATTTATTTGTTTTTAATGCAAAAATGCATTACCATCTGCTAAAGGGAATAAATGCACATAAAATCACCTCAGTCATTTTGCCTGTTATGTTTTTCTACCAACACCAAAACTGTTCGTACCAGATTGGCGACTTTATCTGTGACTTTCCAGGTTCGGATGCGATTACTGTACTCAGCTCCGGCCAGAATCCCACAGAACACCTCCACCATCATGCCCAGGCCGTAGCCTTTGTAACCCCCTGAAGGAAAAGACAACATTTAAAACAAAGTCATTCCAAAGACAGTAAGAGTGGAGAGCCTCTTGGACGCTGGTCTCATCGTCTTGGTCTCATTACATAAGTTGAGCGTTCTGTCTTTAATAGATTCATTGGGAGACTCTTACTCAAACTGAACACTACAGGCTAAAAAGATGTGCACATTTTCATTTAGCTCCAGTTGAGAAAACCCAGGGAGCCAATTTAACACTACAAATATGATGCTGATGGCTCCTGAGTGTGTGTTTTTACCTGTGGCCTCGCTGCCTCCGATGGGCACCAGTCCTCCTCCACTCAAGACTTTGGAGGGGTCAGGGGTCATTTTACCCTGAGAATCTTGGCCCCAGCCGATCGGGATCTCATCTCCTCTACGGTGATGCAGCTCGATCTGGACAAAGTTTATACAGAGGTGAGGAGAATGAATAATGAATAATAATGAATAATGTTGGGTTATTGCTTTTGTGTGTAGAAATATAATCAATATTGTATGGATTTATACAGCACCTTTCAAGAGGTCATCTTAGAAGGGATATTTAGTTCTTTGCTGAGGAACTGTATTGTCTAAATAATTGCAGTTTTAGCAGTTTAATGATTGCACCATCTCAAATTGCAATTTCTATTGGATTGTAATATAATTCCTTCTTCACAACACATTATTTGTAGTTTGTGGTGAGAACCACAGCCGGGCCTGGGCTACAACACATTCTTACAGTCAGCTTCTCTGACCATTCCCAGCAGTTTTCCATCCCAGTTCTAGCCGCTGCAGAGTTCAGATGAGATTGACTATTCTCATTCTCGTGGTAGTTGGTTATAGCCCAAGATAAATCATGATAGTACAGTGAGTTACAACTATTGTTTAACACGGAAGCAAGAAGCCATATTGGTTTCCTAAACCAACCAATAAGTGAATGTGGACAGTGGAGGGAAGCTGGAGAAAACCAGAGCAACACAGGGAGGACATATGGACCATAGATAACTTGAGTAAAGACTAAATACACTTTCCACCTGTAGAAAAAGTGATTACAGAAACCTCTGTTGTAATCCTGTTTATGCTGACAATGCCAAATCTGATTGAAAGCACAACCTTCAAAAGAAAAATCATGTGTCAGCTATTGTACTCTACTAATGACTGGATTAAGTAAGGAATGTGTCTTGCCTGAAGACATAATAAACCAGTACTCATCAAACCAAAGAGGGAATAGAACGCTCTGTTAAACAGTTTTTTTTTTTTTTTTTTTTAATTATTATTATTATTATCTTTTGTCATTTTGATTTTAATGTTGGAGTTACAGATGCAGGTTTTTACATCTGATGCAACACTATACTCCTGATCAGTGTAAAAAGGCAATACGTGTCTTGCTCAAGAATAGAACAAGAGCAATTTATAGAAGATATAAAGGCCTATTTTTTATTATTATTATTATTATTTTGGACAATTTACATCATAATATCAAACCTATGAAAACTACAATTTGTCACCAAATAAACCAAATAATCAAATTTTATATTGATTTTGCATTTTCTGCTCCATGTGTCCCTCTCATCTGCTCCATGTAGCTTGTGCTAACTTTGTGAAACATATCTTTAAGGTAATAGTTGTGCTGTAATTGTAGTCCAGGCTGGATTCTTAGAGGTGCTGTCAGTTAAACCCACTGATTATGGTTAAAGTTACCTTTCCCAGGGCGACAGCAGAAGTTGCCATGTCCAGGACAAAGCTGTCTCCATCGTTGGCTGGAGCTGCCACACTGATGGGGTTGGTGCCCAGCGTGCACTAAATGCAACATAATGTTACAAATCAGACATATCAAGCCACAATTAAGTTATTTTAGCTTAAAGCACATCATAACAAATTAATTACAGTGTTTCTAATTTAAATAATGTCGTTCTGAATAAATCAGCTCCTCCAAATCCAAGGTCATGGTCCTCGACAGGAAATAGGTGGTGCCCTCTACAGGTGGGTGGAGTGTCCCTGCCTCAAGTGAACGAGTTCAAGTATCTCGGGGTCTTGGAGGAAAGGATGCAGCGTCAGATTGACCGGCAGATAGGTGCAGTGATGCAGCGTGTGTGTGTCAGATGCCCTCCCAGCGTGTGCAGTGATGCAGCGTGTGTGTCAGATGCCCTCCCAGCGTGTGCAGTGATGCAGCGTGTGTGTGTCAGATGCCCTCCCAGCGTGTGCAGTGATGCAGCGTGTGTGTCAGATGCCCTCCCAGCGTGTGCAGTGATGCAGCGTGTGTGTCAGATGCCCTCCCAGCGTGTGCAGTGATGCAGCGTGTGTGTCAGATGCCCTCCCAGCGTGTGCAGTGATGCATCGTGTGTGTCAGATGCCCTCCCAGCGTGTGCAGTGATGCATCGTGTGTGTCAGATGCCCTCCCAGTGTGTGCAGTGATGCATCGTGTGTGTCAGATGCCCTCCCAGTGTGTGCAGTGATGCATCGTGTGTGTCAGATGCCCTCCCAGCGTGTGCAGTGATGCATCGTGTGTGTCAGATGCCCTCCCAGCGTGTGCAGTGATGCGTTTGCTGTATCAGACTGTTGTGGTGAAGAAGGAGCTGAGTCCAAAGGTAAAGCTCTCCATTTATGGCTCAATCTACATTCTATCCTCAACTATGGCCAGGAGCTTTGGGTAATGACTGAAAGAACAAGAAGGTGGATACAAGCGCTTAAATGACTTTCTTCTGCAGGTTGGCTCGGTGCTCCCAGTCACAAGGGAAGAACTCGGAATAGAGCAGCTGCTCCTCTCGACATGGAGAGGAGCAGCTATATATATATATATATATATATATATATATATATATATATATATATATATATATATATATATATATATATATATATATATATTTAGGGGTGTCACATTATCGCGTTAATTGCGATTAATTAATTACAGTCATATTTAGCACGTTATGTTTTTTTATCGCGTTAATCTCATTTTTAATCTCTAACTTTACTGTTTCTGTGCGAGTTGCTTTATTATAAAACCTGTTTTTATGTGTTGTTGGGACAGCAGTGCACAGGGAAAAACACATTTGTGTCTTGGAAATTCTTCTCCCGACGTGAAATATAAAAGAAAATAACTAATATAAAATCACCTCCAACTTAAATGTCACTGGTGAAAACAACCTGCATAGACTCAGGATGTCTGCACTACTGTCCTATACACACACACACACACACACACACACACACACACACACACACACACACACACACACACACACACACACACACACACACACACACACACACACACACACACACACACACACACACACACACACACACACACACACACACACACACACACACACACACACACACACACAACACACACACACACACACACACACACACACACACACACACACACACACACACACACACACACACACACACACACACACACACACACACACACACACACACACACACACAACACACACACACACACACACACACACACACACACACACACACACACACACACACACACACACACACACACACACACACACACACACAACACACACACACACACACACACACACACACACACACACACACACACACACACACACACACACACACACACACACACACACACACACACACACACACACACACACACACACACACACACACACACACACACACACACACACACACACACACACACACACACACACACACACAAACACGTTTTCTCCCGTACGCTGTGTAAACCGCACTTCCTCCTGTGCGCCTCTAAACCAGAACTAACACCAAGACTAAAACCAGGACTAACCCAGTCCAGGACTAAACCAGGTCTAAACCAGGACTAAACCAGGACTAAACCAGGACTAAAACCAGAACTAAAACCAGAACTAAAACCAGGTCTAAACCAGGTCTAAACCAGGTCTAAACCAGGTCTAAACTAGGACTAAACCAGGACTAAACCAGAACTAAAACCAGAACTAAAACCAGAACTAAAACCAGGACTAACCCATTCCAGGACTAAACTAGGACTAAAGTAGGACTAAAGCAGGTCTAAACCAGGACTAAAACCAGTGATCTCATATATAAAACATTTCTCTATCAATAATATTTTTCATATGGCTAAGGAAAGACTGGACTTTTTATTGTCTTTAAGTAGACAAAAGTTATTATGTTCAGATTTCCTCGTCTTTGCTACTTTACAGCAAACAGTTTCTTATTCATGGAGACTTGGGATCAACAGCCAATTTGGAGAGATTTGTTAAACAATAAATGACTTTATAAAGTCACTTTTTTTTGTTCTATATGAGTCTTTTGATCTGCCACAATAATGTAATAATGAATTTAAATGAAAATACCTCAAATTGAAGTCTTTTCTTTTTTAGGTGAGATTAAAAAGAGATTAATTAGATTAATTAATTACAGATTATAATTAATTAATCTCTTTTTTTTTTTTATCGCATGACAGCACTAATATATATATATATATATATATATATATATATATATATATATATATATATATATATATATACATATAAACATTCTGCTTCTTTGTCATACTAACTACAAGATTTCTCTTTTTAATATTTTGATGTAACAATTGTGATTTAGTAGCAAAAAAAAAAAGGTACCTCTTTAGCTCGTGTGGGGACGACGAGTGGAGACGTGTTTGTGAATGACATTCCCTGAAAACAAAAGACAGTAAGAGGTTACTGGATTTACAACAGAACAAATGTCCTATAAACATGTAAATAAAAAACTATATACTATATAAAAAGTACAAGAGGATAAAGTATTTTTACAATCATGTTTTCCGTGAGAGCCTGCATGGAGTAGTACCCAGCGATGCCATAATGATTGGATCCTGAAAAACAACACAAGATTGATCAGGTCAAACATTTTAGTAGATCTAGATTATTTTTGTTGCAAATGTCACTTGTGAAATGTAAAAGTATTGAAATAAAATGTAAGTATATATTGATTTAATAATGTTAGGAGTTTTGAACTTGCTGTATGCAGTGGCTCATGTTACTCTTTGTATATGTCTGTGACTTGATCTGGATTGTAGGTCAGACCAGCTAAACCTGATTGTGCCTTTACAATGCTGCAGATGTCATCACCTACAGTAAATGCAAATACTTCTAAACAAACCAGACACATAAGCTTGCCTGTGCATGTCTCAAGTTTCTATTACTTGTGCATTTTATTTACACTATTTTTGATTACGATAGATGTAAGTTATGTATTAAAGTTGGTCAGTAGCATTTTTGGTAGAAGTTCATGCTTTGTCTGGTGTATTATACAGTGTGCTCCACAGTGTTAGTATTATTTCATTTAGTTATTCAGTTAATTACAGCACATAGTTTAATTTAATTCCTTTATTGAGACTCATATTCTAATTTGGGTGCACAGGTTTTAGTTAATATAAATGTGAATTACAGTGTTGGGGAGTAACAGATTACATGTACCGGAGTTACGTAATCAGAGTACAAATTATGAGTAACTGTATTCAGTTACAGTTACTGTTTCAGTGAGTGGTAATTGGATTACAGTTACTTTGTTGAAATAAATGGATTACACAGTGGCATTTTCCTGTTTTCACATTTTGGACTAAACCAGAACTAAACTAGGACTAAAACCAGGACAAAACCAGGATTTAAGGAGGACTAAAACCAGGACTAAACCAGAAATAAAACCAGGGTTAAACCAGGACTAAACTCAGGACTAAACCAGGATTAAATTGGGACTAAACTAGGACAAACCTAGGACTAAAACCAGGACTAAAACCAGGATTAAACCAGGACTAAACCAGGATTAAATCGGGACTAAACTAGGACAAACCTAGGACTAAAACCAGGACTAAAACCAGGATTAAACCAGGACTAAACCAGGACTAAACCAGGACTAAACTAGGACTAAAACCAGGACTAAAGCAGGACTAAACCAGGACTAAACTAGGACTAACCTAGGACTAAAACCAGGACTAAAACCAGGATTAAACCAGGACTAAACTAGGACTAAACCAGGATTAAACAATATGACACTAACAGTAGGTGAACATAATTTAAAGCAGCAGTGATCTCATATACAAATCATTTCTCTATCAATACTATTTTTAATATAGTTAAGGAAAGACTTGTTATTGTTTTTTTTAGCAGACAAACCTCTTATGTTAAGATTTCCTCATCTTTGCTACTTTACAGTAAACAGTTGCCTGTTCATGGAGACTTGGACTCAACAGACAATTTGAAGAGAACAAACAAGAATTTTCAGGATGTGGTTGGTACATTCATGTAGTTTTAAAAAAGCATGACAATATCAAGTAATCCAAAGTATTCAGATTACGTTTCTCACCTTAAATAATTTAATAGATTACATTACAAACTACATTTTGAGGTGTGTAATCTGTAATCTGTAGGGGAACACATTTTAAAAGTCACCTTCCCAACACTTACACTTGTTCTTTTTTTTGTTTGGGTGGCCAGACGGAGGAGCCTTGGCAGAGATCATCCACGCTGAACATTTAGTTTGTTTTACTCAGTTAGTTTTTCTATCTTGGCCCTCGTGTATTTAAACACCTCTGTTCTTTGTCTGGTCGGATTAGTTTTAGTCTGTTCAGTCTGAAGTTACCCCAGTTGTGCCCGGCTTTTACCTCATTTGATCCTGTGTTAAACTACTTTTATTTTTGACTTTATTACATTTAATTACATTTTTTATGCCTTGTCTTTGCCTTTCTGTTTGGTCCATGATACGCATTACGGTACGAACGTATCTATCTCACATTTATGTCATTATATATGCATTCTTACTGTGAGAGGTGTTGCCATTCCACAGATCTGACCAGTAACTTACACCGTAAACCTGAATGTTCAAAGTAATTTAATCGATTAAGTTGTGAATACTCAAAGTTTTAAAGATAGTCCTACTAACTTAATTATGTCAAGTTGGCTCTAACATGTTCTTCTTTTTGAGTCATTTTATTATTACTATTGTATTTGAGTTGAGTTAAATGAGCACTTTTAATTCAGCTGTTATCAAAAGGTACAAGTTGTAAGCCATCCAGCCTTTTAAGTTCTGGAAGATTGTGACTTTTAAGTAAGTAAATAAATTTATTTATATAGCTCTTTTCACAAACATTTGGTGTTTTAAGTTCATAAACCTAAAATATTTGAGGCAATCGATCTTCTAAATTTTTTTGAGTTTTGGTAACTTATTCAGGTTTAGTTTAGTTTTCTTTTAGTTTAGTTTATTTATTTAATGAGACAGGAACAGTACACAGGTTTATGGTGTACTTGGCCAGTTACATGTGTCAACTTCAATTCATTTACCTGCAGTGTTGGGAAGGTGACTTTTCAAATGGATTCCCCTACAGATTACAGATTACAGATTACATACCCCAAAATGTAGTTTGTAACGTAATCTATTAAATTACTTAAAATGAGTAACGTAATCTACTTGATTTGCTGTAGAGAAGCAAAGACGAGGAAATCGTAACATAAGAAGTTTTGTCTGTTAAAAGAAAATAAAAAAGTTGAGTCTTTACTGAACCAAATTAAAAATATTATTGATAGAAGATGAGGAAACACGGTCCACACATGATTTAGTCCTGTTAAATCCTGTTAAATCCTGTTTTAGTCCAGTTTTAGTCCAGTTTTAGTCCTGGTTCAGTCCTGGTTTAGTCCTGGTTTAGTCCTGGTTTAGATCTGGTTTTAGACCTGGTTTAGACCTGTTTTAGTCCTGTTTAATCCTGTTTTAGTCCTGGTTTAGTCCTGGTTTAGACCTGGTTTTAGACCTGTTTTAGATCTGGTTTTAGACCTGGTTTAGACCTGTTTTAGTCCTGTTTTAGTCCTGTTTAATCCTGTTTTAGTCCTGGTTTAGTCCTGTTTAATCCTGTTTTAGTCCTGGTTTAGTCCTGGTTTAGACCTGGTTTTAGACCTGTTTTAGACCTGGTTTAGATCTAGTTTAGATCTAGTTCAGACCTGGTTTTAGTCCTGGTTTAGACCTGGTTTAGATCTGGTTTTAGTCCTGGTTTAGACCTGTTTTAGTCCTTTTTAAACCTGTTTTAGTCATGGTTTAGTCCTGGTTTAGACCTGGTTTTAGACCTGGTTTTAGACCTGTTTTAGATCTGGTTTTAGACCTGGTTTAGACCTGTTTTAGTCCTGTTTTAGTCCTGTTTAATCCTGTTTTAGTCCTGGTTTAGTCCTGGTTTAGACCTGGTTTTAGACCTGTTTTAGACCTGGTTTAGATCTAGTTTAGATCTAGTTCAGACCTGGTTTTAGTCCTGGTTTAGACCTGGTTTAGATCTGGTTTTAGTCCTGGTTTAGCCCTGGTTTTAGACCTGGTTTAGTCCTCGTTTAGTTTCCAGCAATACGTGGAATTACCGAAAAAAAAAAAAAAAAAAAAAGGATATAACCCAAAATGTTAAAACAGGAAAATCCCGCCCTATAATCAATTTATTTCAACAAAGTAACTGTAATCCAATTACCACTCACTGAAACAGTAACTGTAACTGAATACAGTTACTCATAATTTGTACTCTGATTACGTAACTCTGGTACATGTAATCTGTTATTCCCCAACACTGATTATCTGGAACAGTCCCCTTGTTGTAGTTTTTATTGTCATAGTATTATGTACTGCCATTATGTGCAGCACTTTGGAAACTGTCCGTTCAGAAATGTACTATACAAATCAAGTAGGATTATAAAACACTGGAAAGAAATAAAATGTGCCTCATCAAAACCTCTAACATTGAACTCAACTAAACATTTCACTTTTGATATCAACAAAGTAATTATGATTGTGTGTGTTACCCCGTGCAACGACCCAGCCAATGCCCGCCTCCCTGGCCTTCTTCAGGGCCAGTTTCATACAGAAGTTTCCCACCACAGGCCCCAAGAGGTTTTGCCCGTCCACCAGAGCCGTGGCAGCGCTCTCTTTCTCGACAACCGGCTCTCCGTCTTTGGCACAGATCCCCGACTCGATGTCCTTCACGTACATGTCTGAAAACATGAATGTGCACATAACACATTTTACTCAACTGTAGTTTAAGTTGTTACATTTAAGATCTGCAAAAGATTGTACCTGGTTTTCTCTAGGTATGGGCAGCATGAGGAGCAGAAGTAAGTGAGAGAGTTCATTCAAGTTCTGTGTACGCTAATCCATTAATTATACAGTTAGTCTGAATCATTCTTCTAAGTTGAATTAAGTCTTTCTTCATGATTTCTAAGTGCATATAATTATATAATTATAATCATATAATTACAAGAAGTAAAGAGAGAAAATAGAGAGAAAATGATGTATTACAGTGATCACCTGAACTGTTATGTGGACAACAACATTGGTTCAGTAGTTCCTCAGGAGTCAAGGCACTTCAAGATGGTAAATTATTGAATTAAAAGCATGTGTTAAACTACTGAAATTAAGATTTTTTTTTTTTTCAAGGCAAACCTGGCAGTACCTCAAGGCGCACTACTACACTGTTCTCTGTACACTGGTTGAAAATTCAGTGGACTAGTTGACTACTAAAATAATCATTATTTGCAGTGCTAATATTGTCATAATGTAGATAGCCCTGTACAGACGCTCACCCATACGGTTGAGGCCGTGGCTGTAGTGCCCGCGGTAGTCACCCTCCACCAGTACCTCGGCCAGACTGTGGGCGTGGTGCTGCTTTGTGCCCACTGCAGTCATACAGCGCTCAATGAAGCTCTGCACCTCAGATTTGTGAATCAGACACCTGCAAATACACAACAAACACCAACGTTACAGCCAGAATCACCAAACACTCACTGTTCAAAACACATGCAGACACTGGGGGGAGACTCTGGGGTTGATTGATTGATTGATTGATAGCATTTATATAGCGCCTTTCAAGATCCCCAAAGCGCTTTACAGTTCATTATTCAGTCACTCCACACTCAGTGGTGGTAAACTACTACTGTAGCCACAGCTGCCCTGGGGCAGACTGACGGAAGCGAGGCTGCCAATCTGCACCATCGGCCCCTCCGACCACCACCAACACTCACGCTCACACCACTTTCATACTAGGCAATGTAGGTGAAGTGTCTTGCCTAAGGACACAACAACAGTTTTTTGCCACTGGCATCCCTCTTATCAGTTATCAGAAGAATCAATAATCACATACTAATGAATACTGAAAACTAACTACTCCATAGTAGTACCAATACCAAAAAATAACTAGGATAACTAGGATAAATACTGCCCTTTTCTGAATAGTTTCACATTAAATGGTCATGATGTATAGATTAGAGTGGGTGGTGATACGCCAGCACAGGGCGATGTGGGAGTGTCTTACAAGGACCCAGCGTTTGCTGTCACATATAGTGTAAAAAATCTACAGCATCTCAATGTTCATAGCCAGCTCCTTAGCTAGCATCTTGTATCACTGTTGATTTCACAATCCAACAGTGGATTGTGTTCACTGACACTCATGTATGAGAATCAAAACATTTACATGTTCATAGACTCACACACCAGCACACTGCTGTTTTTGTGTCTGCACATGCACGAGTGTGCGCGGGCCTCTACAGGAGTGTGCGCGGGCCTCTACAGGAGTGTGCGCGGGCCTCTACAGGAGTGTGCGCGGGCCTCTACAGGAGTGTGGCGCGGCCTCTACAGGAGTGTGCGCGGGCCTCTACAGGAGTGTGCGCGGGCCTCTACAGGAGTGTGCGCGGGCCTCTACAGGAGTGTGCACGGGCCTCTACAGGAGTGTGCATGGGCCTCTGCAGGAGTGCGTATGGGCCTCTGCAGGAGTGTGTTCGGGCCTCTGCAGGAGTGTGCATGGGCCTCTACAGGAGTGTGCATGGGCCTCTGCAGGAGTGCGTATGGGCCTCTGCAGGAGTGTGTTCGGGCCTCTGCAGGAGTGTGCATGCGCCTCTGCAGGAGTGCGTATGGGCCTCTGCAGGAGTGTGTTCGGGCCTCTGCAGGAGTGTGCATGGGCCTCTACAGGAGTGTGCATGGGCCTCTGCAGGAGTGCGTATGGGCCTCTGCAGGAGTGTGTTCGGGCCTCTGCAGGAGTGTGCATGGGCCTCTGCAGGAGTGCGTATGGGCCTCTGCAGGAGTGTGTTCGGGCCTCTGCAGGAGTGTGTTCGGGCCTCTGCAGGAGTGTGCACCGGCCTCTGGATGGATAATAATCAGTCACAACAAGAACAATGATAATCAAAAGGAAAGTGTAATAACAAAGAAGTGACTTGTAAATATTGTAAAGTGTCCATGTGTGAACAACAAGCTGAACATGCTCCAACTACAGTAAACTAAGGTCAACTGAACTACACTAACTATTGTACTACTTGTCAGAAAAATTGCTAATATTTTTTGCAGTCCTTGTGAAAAGTGCCCAAAATTGCATCCATAAACAGGAAGTTTAAACCCATAAATAGTTACTACTTTCTTTCCACACCTGGCACTGGTCACCAGGCTCACCACAAGATCACGCTGCACTTTTGTAAATAAGAGTGTGCCAACCTCATTCAAGTTTGTGCACTTTGACTAAACAACATTTATAAAGCCCACAGACACCGCATGCACAAAGCTACAGAAGACTGACACATTTATTTTATTATCTGTTTCAAATGATTATATAGTATGAATGGTATGGTCGGATTTTATAAACTAATGATTAGGGAAGGTGATTTTTAAAGTCTGTTCATTTATTTTACCAACAAAAACCCCCAGTGGTGTTACAGTGTGCATGTGTTTTGAAATGTATTTGGAGACCCCTGTTAGAACAGTCTTCACCAGATGCAAAAAACTGCACTGCCCTACATTCAAATATTAACATCAAGCTTGATTTGTTTTTCTTTCACTTCTTTGTTGAACTGGTTGCGGTTAAATTTGGTAATGTAATTTAATTTCAGACAAAGGGCGGGCACTTAACTCTATGGGAGATAGAGCGTGTTAGAAGAAATATCCAAATTTACAATTCACAAATGTTGAGTCTTTTATCATTATTTGTTAGAAATGGGCTCCACAAACCTGCCATCTTAAACTCATGGTATGAAGTCCTTTCAACTGACAACTTGCTGATAGAGAAGACACAGAACTTTGAGTCAGTTTGTTTTACATGGATAGACCCAGTAATTACAGAAATATTAACCATAAACCAGACCAACAAATCTGCAACACGACAGCAAATTCTATAGACATGGACTTCCAGCTCAATGTTAATTCTTCTAATTTTGGGCATTGCCACAAACAAGTCGATTAGGATAGAGCTGCTATTGAATGGCTGCATTTCTGAACAAGAGAAAGCGTATTTAATATTTTTTTCTAAATAAAAATATGTTTCGTAAATAACTGTGCCATTTTGTGATTAGCTAATTGATTTGATTGAGATTTAGTATGTATTATGTGTGTAGGCCTGTAACGCTAATCAATAAATCAATTAATCGTATGATAACTTTTAACGAGCTCGCTAACTTTTCTGGCCGCGATAAATTCTATTTGCAGCTTGTTTGTTTTCCTCTCTCTGTCACTCTCAAAGAGACTGAATGTTAGGTTTCTATCGCTCTCTGACTCCTCTCATTTAACAAGTGTAATGACGCTTGAACCAACGTGCGCTGTGTTCATCATCGCAGCGGATGCGTGTGCAGCCTGAGTGCAGAAAGCGCCGCTGTCTGTGCAGTTAAACGTGAAGCCGCAACACAAGCGCCGCTGTCAGAGTGACAAAACAGTTCATCGCCGAGTGCCAAAACAAGTCACGATGCCGAATCAACACTGGTGAGTGGGACACGTCTCAACAGCCACGTGTGTCAAATGCAGCGAGCGCAAATGAGGAGAAGAAATGTCTCAAACCCCAACAGCCGGCATAAACCCAAACCCTATCGACACAACTAGCCCCGCCCTCAGGAAAGCCCGAAATCCACTGAAATCCCACAAGACACCGACACAACACCAGACAGGACAGAAGCTCCATCATAGTGAAACAGCATCCTGTGTCACGGGTTAATATGAACATTTAAATGACCAAAATGATGAGGCAACAGCAGCAGAAACAGAGAGACGAGACACTATATACCAATGTAAGTCAACGACTAAAATCACTTTTAAGGGCAATTTTGTTACAGAGACTTAATAATCCATTTTATTTATTGCTTTGGTTGTATTTGGTTCAGCGATGGTTTATTCAAGTGCATTTTTGTGAACAAGTCCTTGCTGTCAGTAAGACTACATTATTCTTTTCATTTATTCATTTATTTATTTAGAACTGGTCTAAATAGCCCAGCAGCGGCTACACTTCCTCAAGAAGGAGCCACTAAACACAAGCTGCTGGTGACCTTCTATCGTTCCACCATTGGTCACCTGCTGACCTCTGCTGTGACAGTGTGTTTCTAGCTGCACAGAAGCTGACATGAAGCGTCTGCAGAGGGTCACCAACACTGCACAGGACATTATTGGCTGCCTTCTGCCTTCCTTAACCACATTATACAACTCCCCCTGTCTCAGCAGAGCGAGGAAAGTCACTGAGGACAATACACACTCTGGATTCCACCTGTTCAACCTGTTGCCTTCTGGCAGGAGCTTCAGGTCAATTCCAGCTCAGACCAACAGACTCAGGAACATCTTCTTCCCTAAAGCTGTCACCATCCTTAATGAGAACTATTAATTTGTTTTATTTATTAATTAATTAATTCTTGCACTTTGACGGAGCAGCTCTGAATTACATTATACTCTTGTATAATGACAATAAAGGCTTTCTGTTCTGTTCTGTTTCTATTATGTGAACAAGTGTGTTTATTTAGGCCTATTGTTTTAGTTTGTCTTCCAGTTCCTGTGTTAAATGTTCTTTAGAAAGTAAGGTTTACTGATCTTTGAAAGGGTGTATTTGCAATTGAAACTGGTCTCAAAATGTCAATATTATCGTTTATCGCAATAAATTATTGGTCAGTTAATCGTCCAGCAAAAATCTGTTAGCGTTACAGGCCTAGGTGTCGGTTACCTGCGTTAAATAGGAGAACTTTTAATAGTCTCACATGGGAAAAATTTTAGTGTTGCAACACCATGGAGATATTATTGCTTTCCCTGGAATACTCCACAGTATGACAATAAACCTGAGCATTTCTTGTTCAAAATTAACTTTACTTGGAACATTTCAGACAAAGTAAAGTCAAAGAAAACATGTTATGTACTTTCGACTACAAAAGTTAAATAGGTCAACCTTAAATTACTCATTTTGGCCTGGATCCTTTGGACAAACTGTACTTTACCCTCACAAAATAAATACAAAGTTAATACGTCATTTAGAATTTGCATTTTCCACTTAGTATTTCACAAACCTTTAGGTCCCAAGTTCAAATCTAAAACGCAAATGTGCATCTGTGTAACGCAAGTGCCAAAGGGTCGTTGCATCATATCGTCAAAAATAGGTCAAAAAGGAAGAGTTTAAATCAATAGTGTCTGGATAAACTATAACCTCTGTGCGAGCTGGCAGGACACAAGGTACCAATTTAGAAGTAGCAGTTTTGAGGATAGGTGCACTGTCACTGTCTGCCAAGCCACTAGGCCAAGTAACAGGTCCGATCTGTGGAGAGGCGACCCCCAGTGTACAAATGCATGTTTTTTAAGGCGTACACATTGAGGAAAACCAGTAACGTCTCACTGAAAATAAAAAATCACATGCATGCACATGAATACGGGTTTTTGAGAGCTGAGAACTTTCCTTTCTCCATTCACGGTTTGAAAATCAAGTACTACAGTTTTTAAAAAAGCAATAAACAT